AAGGGATAGGGAAAGGCGTGATAGAACAATAGATGAAAAGAATATTAGTCAATAGGATTTCCTTAACTTGCTCCTATGACAAAATGTAGATCGGTGCTGAGGATAGCTCTTATCAATAATGCTGCTGATACTCATGCCGGCGAAACTTCTAGGAATGGCTCAATTCAACTGTATTGTACTGTAAGAGCACATGTAAACAAGTATATGAAATATAGAACAAATTAGATGCCTCGCAGTCTAGCAAAAATAAGGTCAAACCTATTCAATAAGTAGCTATGCTAAAATTTATGCAGACAAATTTTTATTTTAAAAGAGCTTAAGATGCTTGCTTTAACTCGGGACAGGATACTAGCTCGTATGACCTCTGAGTATTATCAAAAATATTAGTTGAATCAAATGAATCTCAGTTTCGCTGGCTCACCGATTCAAATTGGTCTTCTTTCTTCATGTGATCTACAATCCTGCGGACACTCTCAAGAGCCAGATTTATTTCGTCAACTAGTATCTCATCTGGTCCCCCTGAAGAAACAATCGCCTTCCTGCGCTGCCGCCACGTTGCACCGCCAGGTAAATGAGGCAACCGTGCAAGGGAGTCCTCCACTCCCAAGCTTTCTAATGAAGTCGCATTTACATCATCAGAGGCCGTCTTGACAGGCTCTTGCCGCCTTGAGGCACATCTTATGAAACTTTTGTGCTCAAAACGACGATTCTGTCCAGGTTTAACGATAGGCCAATCGCAGGCCTCTTCGAGGCCTAAAGGCGGTCGTAATATCTGAAGGCGAGTAATCTTTATTAAACATTTATAGTGTATACTGGATAATAATATTTTTTAATTCAATATATACATAATTATACATATATGTATACCAAAATATATTCTTTAGTGCAGACAAAAATGCATGCCTATATGACGCGTTGATCCATTAGTCAGTAATCTAGGCTTTTGAAAATATGATTTTGCTTGTGGAGACTTGATGAAGGTCCAATCATCGACAAATACTTATCAAATACATTCATATCGTTTTCCGCTTTACGAATAAGAGATATTGTATAAGAAATATTTATGGAAAAATGGCTTGCATTTTTAAGAAAATCTTAATTACTCCCATATCTATGGGTATGCTCTATGTACAGAAGTTTAGAGCTCTCCTAGTTAACATTAATGTCCGTATAATGAAGCGCCAGAAGATAACACTTGATTGAACTGTCTGAATAGCCGGCATATTTCGAGGATATTCTAAACTATGCTGAAAACAATGCTTTGAGAATTGCCCTTGCCAGACTTCTTTTGCTCTTGAATCTTAATATTCTTCTTAAAAGGCAGCATATATGGAGGATATTTGATTAATC